ATCGTTTTACCTATTCTGCTTCTGTGGGCATGCCATGTGCCTGACAGAGATGCTGAAGCTTCCTAACAGCTGTCTAATGCACAATCAGAAGAGAATGATAAAAGGGGCAGACTGACTTTGGGAAATACAGGATGCACCAGGAGTTAGAAGGCCTGCAGAGAGGCACGAAATTGAAATTGACCTTTGTATGAATATACTATATATAACAAGGGCAATTTGGAAATAAATCTCCATTTGGTTATCAATGACAGACACTCGCAGATACAGAACTTGTATTAGACACATTAGAAAACTACAACATTACATTACTTTTCGACATAATCGCCATTCAAATTGAGGCACTTGTCATAACGTCTTACAAGGTTTGAAATTCCTTAGTAGTGGTCACTCAGCACCAAATATGGGCTGTGGGTGTGTGTGATCAAAAACATCCCAATGAAACTGCTTCAAAAGTTCTTGGGTGCGTCTAGAGGTGTGCGGGTGAGCATTATCATGAACCAACACCACACTGGAAGTGGTGCCATAGAAAATCCCACCAAATGTGAAGATGCCAAAGGAGTACTGCTGGTGAAGTTCACGGAGCGTGGTTCGACCATCAATTCAGATGTTTACTATGAAACTTTACGAAAACTCAGGCGACCATCCATAACAAGCGTCGGGGCATGTGACTTCCGGTGTGGTGTTGGTTCACGATAATGCTCGCCCGCACACTGCTATACGCACCCAAAAACTTTTGACGCAGTTCCGTTGGGATGTTTTTGATCACCCCCTCCAATAATCCAGATTTGGCGCCAAGCAACTACTAAGGAATTTCAAACCTAGGAGGAGATTATGACAAGTGCCTCAATTGGAATGGTTGTTATGTCAAAAGGTAATGTAATGTTGTAGATTTCTAATTGAAACTCAAATACTTTGGCCACCTAATGAGAAGGAAGGATTCACTGGAGAAGAGCCTAATGCTGGGAAAGATAGAGGGCAATAGAAGAAGGGGACGACAGAGAATGAGATGGCTGGATGGAGTCACTGAAGCAGTAGGTATGAACTTAAATGGACTCCAGAAGATGATAGAGGACAGGAAGACCTGGAGGAACATTGTCCATGGGGTCGCGATGGGTCGGACACGACTTTGCAATTAACAACAACAAGCTTTCTAATGTGTATAATAAAAATTCTATATTGCGAGTTTCTGTCATTGATAACCAAGTGGAGGTTTATTTCTGAACTGCACTCATAAAACAGTCCAGAACATGATAAGAAAAATAGTCTGGCCTTCCTGGACTGTGCAGAACACATTAAGGAAGACAGAAGCCTTAACATTGAAGTTTAAGAAAATCCCCACACAAAGATCAGTATTTAAATTTTGATTCTCCTACCCACTGGAGCACAAAATGGGAGTTATCAGAACCTTACACCACCAAGCTGAAAGCCTGCCTACCAGCAAAGATGGGAAAGAAAAAGAACTAAAACATATCAAGGAGACCCTCAGAATCCAGGGCTATCCCAAGTGAGCCTTCATCAAATCCCAAAAAAGACCTGTCAGGAGCTCCTCCATAACAGACAAAGAAGAAAACAATCAATGAAGCAATGTAGTCATTCCATTCATTGCAGGAATATTAGAAAAATTTAGAAGGATCTTCAGCCAACACAACATGCCGGTATGTGCACACTTCAAACCCACAAATACACTAAGGCAGAAGCTTGTCCACCCCAAGAATAAAACATCCAGACACAAACTGAGCAACATGGTATATGAAGTACAATGCAGCAAACCATGTGCAGATCTGCACATTGGGGAAACAAAACAACCACTTCATAAACGCATGGCACAACATAGGAGAACAAACCCATCAGGACAAGATTCAGCAGTCCATCTGCATTTAAAAGACAAAGGCCACTCTTTCGAAAACAGCAAAGTCCATATTTTGGACAGAGAGGACTGCTGGCTTGAAAGGGGGTCAAAGAGGTCATCTATGTCAAAAGTGAACAGCCCTCTCTCAACAGAGAGGGAGGGATACGACATCATCTATTTCCAGTCCTTTCAATAGTTCCAAGAAGGCTCCCCACTCATTTGCACAACTCAAGTGACCCTGACGACAGATAAGCCTCCAGGTGGCCTCATTGACTCTCTAAAAGAATGCAAATGACCAGCTGTCTGCAAGGAGTATAAATCCTTCTATTCCCCACCATCCAGTCAGAGCTGAAGAAACTTCTTGGGTGAGAAGTGGAACATCTTCAAAGAAAAACAAGAAAATCCAGTTGCCTTGTGAAAAAGCACCTTTGGGATACATATTTTGGTGAACTTGGAACATGCTGCCATTGTGTGTGTGTGTGTGTGTGTGTGTGTGTGTGTGTGTGTGTGCGTGTGTGTATTAAAATATAGGCATTCTGCTTCTCAAAAATCGGTTATCTTTCAAATATAGAGATAATTATTAGAAAAATAGGTTTGGATGGAAATTCTGGGAAATTTTAACCAAAGCTACCTCACACAAGGATGTTATGAAATTAAAATGGATAATCCATGAAGCATTTGTTCCATTTGTACCCTAGCTTTCCTCCAGGGATATCAATCTAATATATATGTATCTTTTCACTGTATTCACTTGCTGAACTTCTGTTTAATTCAAAATTATGTATAACAATATATCACCTGAAGTTCTTGAAGGAAAAGCAAATACAAATATGACTAAGGTTGTTGCTTTGTAATAGACAGGAAGAGACTAAGCACAGAAAAATCTTTTGTTTTATTTCCCCTGCAGATGAATATAGCAAGGAGAGTGATGGCTGAAGGCTGAAGTATTAACTGTGTGCATGTGTGCATGCCTGAGAACAGGAATCTAATCTAACCTTTGATGGGCTAACATCAGCCAAGATCTCTTTCCCCAATTGATACTTGCTGTCTTTGGGAAAACAGCACAATATTGTTGGGATAAAGATAACTACCTCCTGCTACAGTAGTTTTCTAATTGAATTAAAAAATAAATATAAATATATATAAAACTGTGAAAAATAGTTCACCTTTCTTCAAATTTCCTTCATGTTTCAGTCGTAAGTCAAATATGGGAAGGCCATTTACAGAAATTCAACCAAGGCATTTTTGACATACAGTATGGCTGTCCAGTCTCTACTTGAACTAGCAAAGGGGAGTATACAAGCTCCTTAAGCAATTGTATCCATTTTTTCTAATATTCAACCAGAATCAACATTGCTATTGTGTAAGTTAATTATTCCATGCCTTGCACTCTGGGATAATAGAGAATGAGTTTTGATGCAGGATCCAATATGGGTCAGTTACTTGCACTGGAACCCATCATGTGTGCACACATTCTGCTAGAGAGGAATTGCCTGAAGATGGGCTCCAGTACAAGTCGAAAGCTTGGAAGACAAAACTGCTGGTCCCAATGACCGACCCAGATTGGATCATGCAACATTATCCTGGGACATGTATAATTGCCTTCATTCGTGAAACAAGTCTTGATTTCTGTATTAACCATCATACCAACAGTATGATGGACAAACATATCTCAGGGAGTATCTGTTTGACAATATAGGCACCATCCCTGAAAAGGTCTGCCTCTGAGGCCCCCATTCTCTTACCTTCTTGTGAATAATTAAATGTCTTGCTTTGGGGCCTGCATACAAAAAACAGATTCTAGTATGTGAAAACAAGTTTGTAAGTCCAAGGGAACCAAACTATTTAGGACTTTAATAGATGGTACCAGGACTTTGAACAAATCCAGAAACCTATTGAATGGGTAGGCCAGAAATTTGGGGACTTTTTTTTTTTTTTTTTTGCTTGAGGGTGGAAGAGATAAAGGAGGCAAAACAATTGTTCTAAGAATCATAAGACCTAATATATTTATTTTGCCCCTTTGTTTTGCATACAAAAGAAGCAACAAATCATGCTGCTGAAAATCAGAAATGTTTGCTGTTGTATCTCCAAGTATTTGATGTAAGGATTGCAACAGAAATCAGGGGTGTACCTCTAGTTATGTTTTTAATGGGCTGCAAACCATATCAAGTACACAAGGCTCAGTTCTCAGATTGATATCAGTTCAAGAGATGTCCTTCTCCAAGCTCCTAATACCCACCAGTTTGATAGTTCTTAGAAAAGTAATAAAAAAGAAAATGAGGAAAGTCTTGGCCTGATGTATGTTGATACTGGCAATTAGTTCAGTTGCTGGCATTCTTGTTACCCTGCCCCCCCTCCCCCTTTCCTCTCAATGCACTTTGCTAAAGAGAGAAAAATTGTGCTTGGAAAAGGAATTCCGTTGGGTTCAGGCAGAAAAGAAAAGCTTGACCCTTGGGAAAGGTTGGGATGATAAACAAATCAGTGGTAAATAAAATGTAGAGAATACCACCAAATTACATTGACCACACTCATTCAAAAGAAAAAAGAAAACCGAGACTAATGGCAATGAAACAGACGCATCCCAGCACTGGCAAGCATAAATATGAGCAGGAAGCTGGGACTGGCATTAAATGAGGTAGATGATGGTACAAAAGATTCTTCTCCAATGTCTAATGGCCAGGCAGAAATAAGATGCCTATTTGGGGTAAGTAGAGATCTTCCATAAGTTGCTGCTGAATTATAACTCTGTGAAAAAGAAGAACGTCTGAAATTATTGGAAACCATAATATTAGCCGTATTTATTCAATTTATCAATTCAAGTAGTTAATTCAACTTAACCGAATGTTTGGAAAAGATAATTCCTGTGGGATTTAGGCAGAGACCAAAAGGATGAGATGGTAAACAAATCAGTGGAAAGTGATATTAAGTTGAATTAAGATGGCACAAGATTAAATTAAATCAAACGTACCTTTCCTTTTAATTCTCCCATTTCTTGACCTAGTCTTTCAAAAATTAAAATTTTGGTTATAAGAATTTTCTGTGCCACGGAAGTAGAGTCACGGGGGCTTAGTGGGGCTCAGAAAGATGGGGATGATGGGGACGATGATTTTAGAGATACAGTAAGAGTAACGTCGCCACGCACCTTTCAAACAGACGCGGAAAAGCCTCACCGGCTAGCCTTGTAACCGGCTAGCGTTTTACAGGAAAGTCATGCGCATTCCCAACAGATACGACCCTCCCACCTTCACACATACACCCCAACAGAAACCAGAACGGGTGCCAGCTCTCGACATAGCCATTCACACGTGAAAAAGGAGGAAAGTAAGAGCGGGTCTTCGTCCCTTACGCCAACCTCCCTTCCTCGACCCCTGTCATCTCTCAGCCAATGAATACTCAGAATTTCGGTTCCCTCCGTTGCTATTAGTCACCGAGGGCAAAGAAGAGAAGAACGAATCCTCCAATAGCTTTCCGAGTTTGGCGTGGCGCGCGCGCTCCGAGGGCCGAGTTGCGGAACGGAGCTGGGGACGCTGGGAAGATGGCGGCGGGAGCGGCGGTTTCGGTGCCGATAGCCGACTTTGCTTGTGCGGATTTCTCCGACTTGCGGGAGATCAAGAAACAGCTGCTGGATGTGGCGGAACGGAGCCGGGAACGCGGCCTTCAGCATAGTGGGAAATGGTACGGGGAGGGCGGCGCCTAGGAGGAAGGATTTGTACGCCGCTATTCCGATGTGCCGGGAGGTGATGATGAGGCGGGAGGTGGTGGTGACGCTTTATGCCAGGGGTCTTCAAACTTGACCCTTTTATGACTTGTGGACTTCAACTCCCAGAATTCGGCTGAGAATTCTGGGAGTTGAAGTCCACAAATCATAAAAGGGCCAAGTTTGAAGACCCCCGGCTTTATGCAGTTTGACCTGTGCGGGCATTTGCTGTGTGGTTGTTAAGAGCCGAAAACGACTTGACACATAGGCAATCAGAATTAACGCAGGCAGTTGGTCAAATCTCAGAAATAGTGGGACTGCCCTATTGAATTCTTTTAACAGGCCTGTGGCGTTTGGGATAGGTGGGTGGGCACAAAACAAATTCTGGGTCCTGCTGATCATAGCATTTTAGCAAGCGGCCTATAGATTTGCAGCTTTTAAGTAGGAGTTCAGCTGGAACAGCTTCCTTGAGTGTGAAGTTATACAGCATAGGGAGTTTTTGTATGAGTCCAAGATTGCTGGGTTCATACACGATGAGCCGTAATTTGTTTGATTGGGATTTATTGAATAATCTATAATTGATTGACTTTAGAAAACATTCTAAGATGTAAACTGAGTTGCAAGCCAAAAACTGGTTGACAGACTATGTCTAGCCAGAACTGAGTAAATGATATTGTGTAAACTTAGACAATGTGTTATGATTAACCAGGCAATTTATAAGCAGTGTTTGCTCTAACACAGTAGATGTTATTGTTGCAGGGCCTCAGAACTGGCCTTGGCTTTGGACCCTCTACCCTTGAATGAACTGCCTCCTGTTCCCGAACTTACAGAGGTATGGATAATTGTCTGTATTGTCTATAATATTAAACTAAAAATGATTACTTCAGTGACATTGTAAAATCTAGGGACATTGTATATTAATAGTTGGTGATATATGCAAGTTAGTTGCTAAGTCTGCAGCACCAAATTTACTTGGGAATAAGTTTAATTGAACATAATTTTTAGTTATGATTGTATTGTTTATCTCTGACCTATTGTTTGCTTGAAAATCTTTAGTCGGAAAGGCTCCAAGTACTAAGTATTGATCAAATAAAATTGTTGTTGGCATTAAGATTACAATTTTAAAAAAAGATATGAAAAAGAAAATTGATGAGTTGGGAAAACAAAAATACTCAGGAATCAGTTTAATGATGTAAAATCTTAGCCTTCAGCCTGATGGAATGGATTTTGGACTGTATTGAGACTGGTAAATCCTCATTATCTCAAAAGAGATAATTCTTTTTGTGAAAAAAAAGGGCAAAGAGAACTTTTAGTTTGTACTTCATTTATATTTACTGCTCGATCATTAGTAAATGATTTGTGGGAAAGGGTTTCAGACTTTAAACTTTAAAGAATTTTTATGTCACAATACATGCAACCATATTTTTAGTTCTGTATAATGATAATTACTTTTGATCTTCGTTCCTGAAGGATTATACTTTGGGCAAATTTTAAGATGTCCTAGTATTCTATTGAATGTTTCCTTTTTTTCTCATAACTCACCAGCTCAGCTATTCTAAAATTGTAGTTTTATAAAAATAGATTTTCTGAAAGTGATTTCTTATGTTCCAAACATAGTATAGGCCTGATTTGCTAAATTTTGCACACAACTATTTAAGAGTACTTAGACTTACATACCGGTCCCTAGTGCTTTACAGCAGTCTCTGTTTACAGAGTCAGCATATTGCACCCAACAATTTGGGTCCTCATTTTACCGACCTTGGACGGATGAACGGCTAAGTCAACCTTGACCCAGTCAAGATCAAACTCCTGGCTGTGGGCAGAGTTAGTCTGCAATACTATATTATAACCTTTGTGCCACCGGGGATAATTTATTAAATCTATATTAATCATTCTCAGAGAAGTACAAATCTTATTTTGTTGTAGCCAATAGAGTTTGAAAATTCATGATTTAATTAATTTATTAAATTCACAATTTAATGTTTTTGTTTATAATAGAAGTTGGGAACAGGTGGTCTTCCAAATGTTACTGAACTACAACTCCTAGCAAGCCTCAGTATGTCCAAGCTATGTTGATTGTAATTGCTGTGAGTTATAATTCAATACTGTTGGAAAGGAATAGGTTTTCCCACTTTTAAGGAAAGCCTGATGGTCAAGAAAAATATGTTCTAGAAATATCAAATTGACTAAAGCAGTCTCATATAAAGAAAATTTGTATAAATGTTTCACGGATGGTATATGACCCCAGTAAAATTAGCAAAAATGTTTAAAAATACTTTGAATAATCGCTGGAAAAGTAAACAAAGGTCAATACTTATTATCATATCTGGTGGACATGTCCTAAAGCAGTGGTTCTCAACCTTTTTAATGCCACAACCCCAATCGGTCGTAAGTCGAGGATTACCCTACCGGTCGTAAGTCAAGGACTACCCTACCGGTCGTAAGTCGAGGACTACCCTACCGGTCATAAGTCAAGGACTTTCCCTGCCCGGGAGCGCCGCGCATGCGTGGTGCCGCCCCCTGCACCGGCCGAGGTGTAGCTGGCAAGGGGCAGCGACGGCGCAGGGCGACTACTGGCTGGGCCACCAGCTGGCCCAGCCCAAGGGAGGTAAGGCACCCGCCGGGCCCCACGCGCGCCAGCAATCCTCCCTTCGCCCGCCAGCCTCCCACCTCCCACCCCTGGCCCTCTTTTACTTACATTTTTAGTAGTTGCTCAGCAGGGAGGGGTGGAAGCTTCCAGACAGCTCGCCTTCGCTGCAGACAACTTGCAGTACCGTTTGCAGACTGGGGCTTTTGGCGGGCTCAGCAGGGCAGAGACAGCCTGGACAATTCCTATTGGCTTTTAAAAGCCAATAGAATTAGACTCTATTCAAGACAGTCTATTCTATTGGCTTTCAAAAGCCAATAGAATAAAAGGGAGTAGCACAGCTAAGAAAAGGGGGGAAAAAATGGCAGACTGCGTTGTTTGGCGACCCTCGTGAAATAGTCATTCGACCCCAAATGGGGTCATGACCCACAGGTTGAGAACCACTGCCCTAAAGCAAAAAAGATTTTGGGGTAAGATACATACATGGTTGGAAAAAATGATTAAAAGAAAGACAGAATTTAAACCAGAACTGTTTTTGTTAGGAATATTAGGACCTAACTATGAGAAGGAGAATGAATATTTAATATTGCATATACTGACAGCAGCGAGAATAGTGTTTGCCCAATATTGGAAAAATGAAAACTTACCAACTGAAGAAGTTTTAATTAAGAAAATCTTAGAATGTGCAGAAATGGATAGATTGACCTTACAGATTAAAGAGAAAGAAGATTCAGTTTACTTAGAACATGGAATAATTTTTACCAATGGTTAGGAAAACGAACTAGTGAGAAATGAATGTGATATGTTATTTTGAATGTATATTAATAAGAAGAATGATATGCATTAATTAATTGATATTGTTTATGATTATCGTTTATTACACATTACAGTTATTTATTACAATATCAACTATTGTTAGCTGAACATATGTAGGCAGACAATAGTCTGTTTGCTAAAGATTGAAAATGCTATTGGGGGATAACCCCAATGTCGACCCCAATCCTCCCCATCACCAATCCTGATTCCAACCCCACCCTAAACCTTAATCCTTATCCCAACCCTATTCTATTCCCAACCCTATAAAACTCAATAAAATTCTAAAAAAAAAATCTATTATGAAGAAAAATATGTTTTTTCCCACAAGCTTTCCATGCCAGCAATGTATCATTTGTTATAGAGTGGTTTAACACCGCTTTCTTTTTTTCCACAGGAAGATGCTTGCGATTTGGATGCTTACACTCTTGCCAAATCTTATTTTGATCTAAAAGAATATGACAGAGCAGCCTATTTTCTAAGGAATTGCAAGAGCCCAAAAGCCTATTTTTTGTATATGTACTCCAGATACCTGGTGAGCTCAAACTACTTCCTTTCTGTTTCTGATGGTCAGATCAGTGTGATAAATATGAGAATCTAGTAGGATATACACTTGCTTAATCTTAAATTAATTGTTCTTTGTTTTCAGTCTGGTGAGAAAAAGAAAGATGATGAGACAGTGGATAGTCTAGGTAAGGAATCCAAGGTAAATCTTTCATTTGACTTAGTTTGATTGTTGATATGCAGTTTCTTAGGCATATTATTCTTTAGAGGAAGGCTGCAGTGCTTAGCATAGCTAGGCACAAAAATCAATTCTCAATATGACACTATTATGAAATACACAATAGCCTAACACAATATAACACCGAAAACGATGTACCTCAGAGTTAATAAATTCCAGACCAGATAATCTAAATGCAATGGTGCAGATATGGTATATGTGTTTTATCCTTGATTGCTGTGTAAGAGATTTTGAAAGCAAAGCCTGAGAAAGATTGTTTTATCACCTGAAATATAAAGCACTTCTGAACTAGCTACAAATTGGAAGGATGTGAAGTTGTAAATTACACATCCATTGTTAACATGTAAAATATGATTATATGACAGTGTAGAAAAGGTGACAATTGTAGTAAAAGGCAGTTTTCTTTCTCTACAGGTCCCTTAGAGAAGGGACAGGTGAAGAATGAAGTTCTGAGAGAATTAAGAGTTGAACTTAGCAAGAAGCATAAAGCCCGAGAATTGGATGGATTTGGACTTTATCTGTAAGTTTTGTATGAGATAACCAGTAATGTTAGCTACATAGAAGCATTTGCATTCCTATGTGAAGCAGGAATTGTGAAAATAGCAAGGCTTTTTTTTTTTCATTTACTTGTTTGCTATTCATTGTACAGTGTCATAAATTGGAGCAACATGATTACAGAGTTTTGTTTTTTCAGTCTTTGCCTTTGTGTCCCATTAGGTATGGAGTTGTATTGCGAAAACTGGATCTAGTGAAAGAGGCTATTGACGTCTTTGTGGAAGCAACCCATATCCTGCCATTGCATTGGGGAGCCTGGCTGGAGCTTTGCAACTTGATCACAGACAAAGAGACGGTAAATTGTGGGATAACTTCATGCCCAGTCCTTCTTTTCTCCCGTTGCTTGATCACTAAGCATTGACTGATCTAAATTTGATATTGTTCATGGTGTTTTTCTGATGAAGAAAAAAATAAATCTAGCTAACCTAATTAAATAAATAGCCTTGGAGGTTTTCACCTTAATCCTGTCTGAAGATCTCTTCAAATGAGCAAGCACAGTGATTCCTACAGTTCAGGGGAGGTACTATAGACTCCTTCTCTAAGTGTCTTCCTCTTCTATTTGGTGCTTGCTGCCAGCTGAAGTTCCTGTCCTTGCCAGATACCTGGATGAAGGAGTTCTTCCTGGCACACATATACACAGAGCTGCAACTGATAGAGGAGGCCTTGCAGAAGTACCAGAGTCTCATAGACGTTGGGTTTTCCAAGAGCACCTACATAATCTCCCAGATTGCAGTGGCCTATCATAACATTCGAGGTCAGTGAATCTTTTTAGGCTTGTTGTGGGAGGGTCTCCTTTTCAGTTCCGTTATGCGCTGATCAGAATAAGAGAGTTGGAAGGGACCTTGGAGGTCGTCTAGTCCAGGAGTCTCCAACCTTGGCAACTTTAAGACTTGTGGATTTCAACTCCCAGAATCGGGAGGCTGAGGAATTCTGGGAGTTGAAGTCCACCAAGACTTCAAGTTGCTAAGATTGGAGACCCCTGTTCTAGTCAACCCCCCTGCTCAAGCAGGAGACCCTATACCATTCTGGACAAATGGCTGTCCAATCTCTTCTTAAAAACCTCCAGTGGTGGAGAACCCCTAATTCTGAAGGCAAGCCATTCCACTGGTTAATTGTTTTCACTGTCAGGAAATTTCTCCTTAGTTCTAGCTTGGTTCTCACCTTGATTAATTTCCATCCATTGTTTTTTATCCTGCTTTCAGGTGCTTTGGAGAATAGCTTGACCCCCTCTTCTTTGTGGCAGCCCCTCAAATATTGGAACACTGTTATCATTTCACCCCTAGTTCTTCTTTTCACTGGACTAGACATACCAAATTCCTGCAACCATTCTTCATATATTTTAGCCTCCAGCCCCTTAATCCTCATTGTTGCTATTCTCTGCACCTTTTCCAGACTCTCAACATCTTTTTTATATTGTGGCAATGAAAACTGGAGGCAGTAGCACTGTAAAACAGTACTAACACTTCTTGTGATCTTGATTCTATCCCTTTCTCAATGCAGGATTGCATTGGTTTTTTTGGAGGCTGCAGCACACTGCTGGCTCATATTTAAGTGATTGTCTCCTAGGGCTCCTACATCCCTCTTGCAATTGCTGCTGTTGAGTAAGGTTCCACCCATTCTGTACACATACATTTGTTTTTTTCTTGCCTAAGTGTAAAGCCTTACTTTTCTCACCATTAATTGTCATTTTGTTAGATAGGGTCCAATGTTCAGATCTGTTGAGATCCAGATGGATCTTGAGCCTATCTTCTAGGGTGTTGGCTAGTCCTGCCAGTTTGGTATTGTCTGCAAATCTGATGAGTTCTCCTTCTATTTCCTCATTTAAATAATTTATGATCATTTCATGTTGCTTTTTCTTCAGATATCGACAAAGCATTATCCATCTTTAATGAATTAAGAAAACAAGACCCTTTCAGGATAGAAAATATGGATACCTTCTCTAACTTGCTTTATGTCAGAGTAAGTACCTTTTTTCTCAGCCATATTTTAACAAAATACTCCCGATTAGTATTATGTTATTCGCAGCCATACAATGTGTTCAAACTGTCAGCACTGTCTGAAGCAGCTGCCACCTCTTATAATGCTTTCAGTCACCCTCTGCACAGAAGTCCAGTTTCCATATAGTCAGCAGCCAGCTTTGGATTAGACCTCTTCTGTTCATTTGGCCTGTTTTGCAATTCTCCCTTGCAGTACTCTCCTTATTCCCTTTTCCACACACATACCAGCACAGCATCTCCTCCTAACATACTCATATTTTGATATAGAAAGATGCAGTCCATCTTCATGCATCAAAGTGCTGGAGAAGAGGACAAAAAGCAGGAAGGGAGGACATACACAGACTGTTGCATGTGACTTTACTACAAATAGTTTTCAAACATTCCATATCACTAAAACATCTTACACTTTTGCTGAAAATCAAGATCCCTTTAAATCAAGCGGATGCTTACTTTGATACATCCATATAGGTTTTCTTGGCGACATGGGTCATTTCAAGATGTTTGCCTTCCCATCTTCTCCAAGTACTTATCTCTTTCCAAAATCGGCCAGTTACCTAATGCTGCCATCTGCTGTGGCTTTACTGAAAACTAGATAATATAGTGGTTGTGTTATTTGGTTACAATGGGTCTTCAAACTTGGCCCTTTTATGGCTTGTGGACTTCAACTCCCAGAATTCCTCAGTCCGTGTGCCTGGCTGAGGAATTCTGGGAGTTGAAGTCCACAAGTCATAAAAGGCCAAGTTTGAAGACTCTTGGGTAACAATATTGCTACAATAATCAAATAGGGTTGTGGTGTAATTTTATGCCTTTCTTTGCTTGGTTATCTAGGAAAAAGCTAACATATTAGTAGAGCTCGCTTGATGGATTTATTTCTACAATTGTAGTGTGGCAGTCAAATCCTTAAGGTGAACTTGGTAGTTAACCAAGTGGCTGAATTTGAGATCTGAACTACTGTTTTTCCTAATTTCCTTTTGCAGCGGAGTAAATTTTCATTTTTTCCCTCACTCTTTATTCCTCCCCTTACTAGGGTATGAAGCCCGAATTGAGCTATTTGGCCCATAACCTTTGTGAGATTGACAAGTATCGTGTAGAAACTTGCTGTGTAATTGGTGAGAAACTTTGCATGTTCTTTTCTTGAAGAAACTGATTTTTTTCCCTTTTGAACAGTGCCAGTGAAGCTATTATTATTATTATTATTTAACTTAGGGAACTATTACAGTTTGCGTTCCCAGCATGAGAAAGCAGCCCTCTATTTCCAGCGAGCACTGAAGCTGAATCCTCGATATCTTGGAGCATGGACCCTTATGGGGCATGAATACATGGAGATGAAAAATACATCAGCAGCTATTCAAGCATACAGGTATGTGTGTAAGACTTAAGCTCAGTTGCCTGGGATTGGAATTGCTTTAACTGGATGTTACTTTTTACAGAAATTTTACCCTGTCCCAAACTAAATGCTCTGGGCATCAAATGAGAAAAGATTTATAGCAATAGCACTTATATACTGCTTCACTGTGCTTTACAGCCCTCTTTAAGCGGTTTACAGAGTCAGCATAATATTGCCCCCAACAATCTGGGTCCTCATTTTACAAACCTCAAAAGGATGAAAGGATGAGTCAACCTTGAGCCAGTCAGAAACGAACTGCTGGGAGTCAGCAGAATTAGCCTGCAGTACTGCCTTTCTAACCACTGCGCCATCATGGCTCTTTTACAGAAAAAAATTATTTACTAATAATTTACTAATAGAAGCAATCTATTAACCTAACTTTAAGCCTAAGATATAATTATGGTGCCCGCAGCCTGCGTAGGGAAAAAAATGACGGGAAATAGGATTGTTTTCCTTTACTTGGGAAAACAGGGCAGCTGCATGTCCCTTTGGCAGGAGAGAGTTTCACAAAGTGGAAGCTACTCTAGAGCAGTGGTTCTTAACCTGGGCGATATCGCCCCCCAGGGAGCGATTTCATTTTTCAGGGGGGCGATGAAACAAAAAGGGGCGACGTGGGGGCAAAGGAATGAAAAGGGGGCGATATGGGGGCGATGGAGCGAGGTGTTTTGGGGACACTTTTGAGACTTTTTCATACTGTGAATCGCTGTATATCGCTGTATATACAAAAACATCAGATCGCTCGCTATTAGTGGATTGAATTGTGTTTTCAAATGTTCCTCCAGCTGGCTTCAGTACAGAACACCGTACCTATGTGAAGACGCATTGCTTATCTTCATGTGCATTGCGCAGCAGCCTCTACCCTTTTTATATTTCTTTTTGCGTCTTAAATTTCACTTGTAAATCAATCATTAAATACTACTGTTTTTCTTTTCAGGCATTTCACTTTCTTGCAATTGAATTTTGTTTTCAGTGGTCGTTACATTTCAGTATTTTGAATAAATAAGATAATAATGAAATACATGTATCACGAAGTTTGGGAATAAAGTGACGGGTGGCACCAAAATTTTTCACACAGTTGAGATATGGGAAAAAGACTGGAAATAAATTATTTGCATCGATGTGTCCTGATGACAATTTTAAAGAAAACAAAAAAAAGTGTTTGCATAAATTGAAGAATTATTTCCTACGTTGTGATTGAGAGGTTACGTTGGGGGAGGGGGGCGATGACAACTTCCTCATTGGCTCAAGGGGGCGATTCTTTCGAAAAGGTTAAGAACCACTGCTCTAGACAATTCTTGCCACTTATTTTGCTTTCCCCTCCCTCATACGTCATTCATTTCCTTCCAAAATAAATAAAGAAATGCGTATGAAGTTTTTAACTATATTACTCTTTTTTTTTCCCAAATGCCCTCCTCTGTTAGACATGCCATTGAAGTGAATAAAAGAGACTACAGAGCATGGTATGGACTGGGGCAAACATATGAGATTCTCAAGATGCCATTTTACTGCCTTTATTATTACCGGCGAGCCCATCAACTCAGGTAAAACAGCGAGCATGGTTATCCCTATTGCTGCATTTTTTAAAATCCACTATCCTTGGTATGTGAAGTTAAATTATTATATATGAAATAAATTATTTATTGGGAAGTATCTATTTATAAAGAAGAATGCCCTGCAAACGATAAAACCTTGGTTTTCAGTGTTGACTATTAGCTCTATTAAAGGCAAAGGAGTATAAATTGCAAAGAATTACTAAAGATATCAATTTCATAAACTAATTATTGTGGGGAAAATAAGTCCTGTGCTTATTCAGTGCTAGCCTTTAGGGTTTTTCTTTTAGCCCGGTGTGATAAATAAAGCCATGAAATTAGTTGATATTGGAGGAAGTTTTTCCAATAGTTGGATCTGAAAAATCCCACTGCCAAAATCTGACAGGTCTTTAATTTTTTAAGTTTGTGGTTAAAACTGGCCAGCAGGCAACTGCTCAGCGAGCTATAGATGATTTTAAATGATTTTAATCTTTTTGTCAGCTAGGTATCTTGTGTTTTTCACAGACCCAATGATTCCCGTATGCTTGTTGCTCTCGGAGAATGTTATGAAAAATTAAATCAGCTAGTAGAAGCCAAAAAGGTACTAGAAAGCACAAATTTGCAAAAGGGGGGGGGCGGGATTTGTGGTTTCATGGGGAACCAGCTAGGGGAATTATTGCATGTATTATGTTGTCCTAGTCTGTGCATCATCCTTTGAAAAAGGTTTGTGAGATGTAGATCATATGGCTAGGCCAGGGGTAGGCAACCTTGGCTCTTTTATGACTCCTGGACTTCAACTCCCAGAATTCCTGAGCCAACATGGCTCAGCTTGGAAACCTCTCCCTTTCTCCTCGCATGGCTGGCTCAGGAATTCTGGGAGTTGAAGTCCACGAGTCATAAAAGAGCCAAGGTTGTCTTCCCCTGGGCTAGGCTATCTATGTTAAGAAAGGGGACAAAAAGCATCAAGTCCTTCCTAGAATGGAATGAAAAATTGGATTATGATGTACATTTTATTTTCACACTTCCACATGCCTAATATAATGGGGACCAGTCCTTTCTTACTGCTTCATATCCTAAATTCTATTCCAGTATGAAGAAAAAGAACGTCACTCAAACTTAGTGTTATAAAGTTATTTTCATTCCCAAGTCCTGATAATAAAGTTACAAAATGCAGTCAGAATATCTTAATATAAATATTACATCAGAATCAGTGAAAATCCAAAACATAATTAGTATTTGTAGTATCAAAAAGACTTTTTATTATAATAGTGTTGCTCAATTTGTGCTGATGTTTAGGATACTTTTGCCCAGGTAGAACAAGAACTTGTTGGCAAATATAACAAACATACAATGATTGCTAAAGAATCATTTTTATATTAACCCCATTTGCTAGTCTGATCTATGATGTTAGTGTCCCAGTAAATGCAAAACTCCATAATCTTTCACACCAACCTCTGACCAATAATTCAAAAGTAATTTTTTGCTGTGCAATAATCAGTATATGAGCCATCAACAAAAGGAAATGGATTTGATCATCTATATAATAGTTCATGTGACATCCCTGATACATTTTAACTAGCTTACTCACTGGGGGGATGTTTTATGGTGATGGTAACAAAGAGTGAGTGTGCATTTTGCCATCTGAATTTGGAGCCCAAATAAGTGGAGAGTTGGATGGCATACAAGTTTAATAGTTTAATATTCTTTACTTCATCTTTGCTTTTATTCTTGACAGTGTTACTGGAGAGCCTATGCTGTAGGGGATGTGGAAAAAATGGCACTGGTGAAGCTAGCAAAGTGAGTATGGCATTGCATTTCCCTTGCCTTACTTTGTCGATTAAGGCTGGAATGTTTCTGTTTTAAAAGAAAAGGGAAAATGGGGCTTGTAAAGGCACATGGGCAGTGGATACATCATTGTACCATGGGCATTTTTCTGTAGAAATACAGTTCATGTGTGGTTAACTTTATAGGCTTCTACCTAAAAGCCCCTTGCGGAGTGAATCAGGTCCTACAGCTTTGTACTCAAAAGTATAATGTTGAGTTGGTACCTCCTGCTGAGTTGGTACCTTATCCTCAGTCAAGAGCATCCTCTTACCACTTGTGTCCTTTCTTAGGCTTCATGAGCAGTTGAATGAATCAGAACAGGCTGCTCAGTGCTATATCAAATACATCCAAGATATCTATTCTTGTGGGGTAAGTCAGCTCTAAATAAGTTTGGGAGAGCATGAGAGGGAAATATAGGAAAATCCTAAAAGTCCTTAGAGGTAATCCTTGACTTACAATGGAATTGGGACTGGATTTTCTGTCGTAAGCTGTGATGTCACCTGACTGCATCACTTTGCAGTTGCAGTCCCAGTAGTTTCAGTTGCCATCATAACCCCAGGATTGTGCAGGTTGTTGGGTGGGAAGAGATGGGCATCCCCGGCAAGCAAGCTGGGGGGGGGGGTACTGCAGGCAGGTGGTAGAGAGCAGGGAGGGGAGTGCCATGGGTGTGTGGAAGGTGCCATAAGTAGGCATTGGGGACGGTTACAAATGCAGGTGGCCCACACTTTGAGGGTGCTAAGATGGCCAGAACTTTGAAGACTCGTGTTAAGTCATTTTTTTCAGCTGTAACTGAAACATTTAGTTGTGACCTTGAATGGTTGCTGAATGAATGGATGTACCTATATTGTATCCCAGGAAATAGGAGAGAACTTGGAAGTAAGCACCGCCTTCCGCTACTTGGCTCAGTATTACTTCAAGTGTAAGCTCTGGGATGAAGCCTCAGCCTGTGCTCAGAAATGCTGTGCCTTCAATGATGTGAGTAACTGCTACAGTTTAAGTGGACAATTTTTCACTGGGGCTTTATACCTGTCCCCATATGTATGTATGGGGACTCCCTTCTCCCCCTTCATTTGTGGCTAGGCCAGAAGCTGTGTCCTCCAGGCTTGGTATAATTCATATCTAAAATTAATCTGGCAGAGCTACTGCTTTAACTTAAGATGGTAAAAAGGAATGCCCTATGCCGAGGTGGATGGCAAATTTAGTAAATGAATAAATAATTTATTTAGTAGAGATGGCCTTTATTATTTGTAGGAATTCCATTCCAGCTTAACTAATAGATAACAAAACTGCAGCCAATGAGATCTTGAAAAAAATTTATTCTACAGGGTCTGAGGTACTTCTTCCAAATAATCCTTTGGTTTATTCAGACATTCGTGTATTTGCAATTTGCAAACTTTTGGCTATTAAAATGGTGGCAAATATAATACTGAGCCTATTGCTTTTCTTTCTTATCAGAGAATGAAGTTCTTTAAATTAATACTGACAGATCCCAGAAAGCATATAGACGATTACAAGAAATATTCATTTAGCTGCCTCCTCTATCGCATACGATCAATACAAAAGGCAGCATGTAGCTAGCTCTCTGAGTATGTTGCAGAACTCACCTCTACTAAGCTGCCATTCAGCTGTTTAATGGACTAAGGAGAGTGATATTGTAATATTCTCATATGCACACGAGATTTACCTTTCCTATATATCCTTTTTTCCCACCTATTGTGTGTGTGTGTGTGTGTGTGTGTGTGTGTGTGTGTGTGTGTGTGTGTACATTCTTTATATGAAGCAGTACCTACTGGTTTAGTTATAATTTAGCATGCTTTGCCTATAACCTGTTTTCTATCAGCATCCTCCCTTCTTTTTCTTTCCTCATGCATCTGGCTTTTCTTTGTAGACAAGAGAAGAAGGGAAGGCTCTTTTGCGACAAATCTTACAGTTACGAAATCAAGGGGAGACATCAACTACAGAGACAGCCACACCTTTCCTACTTCCTTCTTCCCTCTCTGCCAACAACACTCCAACCCGTCGAGTATCCCCACTGAATTTGTCCAATATTACACCTTGAACTGAACTACCTTTCTGTGCTGGCTCAGTTGAGAAGACGTTCCTGTTGTAAACTGGGTCTTCCTCTTGAGGAAGGCTGTTGTATTCAGTTCGGATGGCTGACATCACGTTGCTCAGGATGACTGTCTGTTGTATTGTAGCCATGAAATGGTAATAGCTCAGACTGTGTAGCGAGCTGAATTCACGTACATCTCAGTCTTCTTACAAGTCTGGCACCTGAGTGTGAGAGAGAAAACCTCTTTACACTGGCTGTGGGGTTGTTTTCTGTCCCTTTCTTCATCACATTCCTTTCTGAGGATGTAGTAAGATGCAAGTTTATCAGATTTGCATCATATTTGTAACAGTATCACATTTATTTGAAATTGAAAAGGAGTGTCTGTGAGCAGGTGACTTTGTCTTTTTATTATGTGACTAATAAAAGTTTACCTTATAGGAGCAACAAGGCAGAGAACGTGGATGGAGAAGGGAATAGGTCACATCTAATTCAATGTAATAATGTCAGGCTGAAACTGGTAACATGAAGTGATGGGTATATTTTATGCCAGCAGGTGCAGTGTTACTACTTTCCCAAATGGGCTCTAGAAGTTGTAGACTAGATTAGTTAATCTTTTGTTGATCAAGAACCAGAGGAGATTACTTGAGAGCAAATCTATTCATTTCTTTGACTTAGCAACTTGTAAATGTTCAGTTTAAACATTGACTATGTTATTGTAACCTAATGATTGCGACCAGTCTTTAAATGCCAAGACTGTTAGAATTCAGGAAGCATAAAACAATTTTTGTGTGGTTAAGAATCATGTTATCTGCTATTACCATGTTTTTATCAATATATTTTCAAGAAATCAGATTTATGATTTCTGACCTGTTTCAGAGATGTTGAGGCTTCAGTATTCATATTTAGAACTTCCTCCTCAAGGAAACTCAATGTGGTAAACTGCCTTCCAAATTTATGATAGCAAATAAGCTTTATAGTCAGTTCAGCCACCGTTCATAATTGCTTGGATCATCTAATCATAAAATAATTCTTATAAATAAAGTAGAAGTAATCTAAAGCTATCCCATACTTCTATAATTGTAAAATAATCCAACCCACTCTTGTACTGTACGGCAGTCATTAAATTTGGTGCCTTGTTATACTACTGGAAACTGAAGCAAGGCTGCCTCCCTTTGAATAGCAGATCTTGTCAACATCCAGTTCAAGAATCCGAATAAAACTCCAGGTTCATTTCGTTTCTGAAAAGCTTACTGTTTATTGAATACACAGCTTGGTTATGTCGAAGAAAAACTAGCTCTGAAGTTCCCAGGCACCAATTCATTGACTTAAACAATAATTCTCCTAGCCAAACCCCCAACATCTTATGTAATACATATCAACAAGTTCAGTTTGTTATGGAAACCGTCTGTTTCAAATCCACACCTGTTATGGTGTCCTTGACAAGGCTTCAGCCTCTCAGTCTCCAAATGAACTGAAGAGGTTTCGTTTCTCCATTTAAACCACTTGAAAGTAACATACTCTCCCCCCCCTCCTTAATCTGAAGGCAAGATGAAACGCAGAGGCACCTTGCTGCCAAAGTTTCATTCTTGACAGATCTATTTTTCCCAGATCAGAATCAATAAGTTTGTGCACAAGGAACTTCCTGCGAAATAATCAGAATTGTGTTTGGGTTGGTTGGTGTTCTAGATGTATCCCTCCTTTAGCCTTGGATTGCTGCAAATTGTTTCATGAACTAATGCCTCACATGATTATCAAAATCTAAATACTGGAATCTTTTACTATTAAAATTAGGCCTTTATCAAAGTTGGTGCATACCCATAATTTTAACAAACTAATGCCAGTTGCTCAGGTTTTTGAAGGCACAAAAATATCCCATATCTGCCATTGCCAGGAAATTGTCATATGCTTGCAACTACACCATTCAATCAGGATTTTGCACATTCTTTGTATTGAGTATATAGTAGTTGATGATTTAGGCACCGAAGAGGAATATTAGAGCCAATCCGATTTCATGGCTCAGGATTTTTCTGAAAAACAGTACATTTGTGCAGTTAATGTTCTGAAAGATATGTTTCTTGAAATAGCCCTGTATGTATTATGCTCTTAACAGAACATTTTGCTATATGAAAAGCCAGAAAAGAAAAAAATAAAATGGAGGCGAACTTGTTTTCTGCTTTTGAACGAGTTGCAAGTTTATATGAAGTTCTGATTACTTTATGCTCAGGAATGCAGGAAAGAGTATACGTAGTCCTTTGCATCTAGTCAACTATGTCTCTATTGTTTGACATATGTTAAGCATGTGACATGGATTTTTTTAAAATCTTAACCAGAAACATCAGTAGAATTTTCAGATTTTTCTATAGAACTCCTTCATGGGGTTCCATGAGATTATGGGGGAGGGGGGGGAAATGTTCATGCAAACTCTGCCAATTATCTATCGCTAGAGCTTTGCCTCTGGATCAGAGGTCCGGGTTTTGTTTAAAAAACAGTTCCATGGCCCGAAGAAGGCTGAAAACTCCAGTTGTGTACCTTAAAAACAATGGCTCCAATTTACACAGTATTTAATGAGTATTCAAGTTGAAAAATGTCCTTTACAGACTATCTTTACAACCTGTTGCTTAATGACTGTTCAAAACAGATTGAAAAAACTACAATCCTTCCTTTGAATTATGCCTGCTGTACCACCCCTGTGGCCATTTAATTACATTTCAGGCATTTAGCAACTGGCTCACATTTATGTCTGTTTGTGTCTCAGGATTATGTAATCATATTTTGCCATTTTCTGGCAAAAACACCCATTGGATAAGCTGGATTCAGACTTAGGACCACATGATCTGCTTAACAACCATTGTAAAAGTGCATATATTTGAGCCTGTTTATGTGTTTACTCAACTTGCGACTGCAACGATTTGCCATCAAAATTAGATGCTCAATTTTGGTTACCTGAATATTTTTGCAACCTATGGATTTACCAAGGTTTCCCCCCCACACAAATTTTAGAAAATTTGGACATTTTTTGCCTAAAAAATTGTTATTTTGTTTTCTAAACTTTCATTTTCAGTTTCAAAACCTACAGTTATCAAACTTGAGTCCATAAAAAGTCAAGTGAATCAGATCAAAAGTTAGTAAAAGCTGAAGCCCATTGACAGGTGCGGGACAATGGCTACCACAAGGCCCTTTCAAATATAGGATAATTGCCCTGAGAAACATCCTAAGACCTGAATAGCTGCGTGGAACTACATGCACACCAAAGCTGGGTAAAAGCTGTCTGCTATAAACCTACAGCAGCATATAATATTGCCTAAGGTTAACATTAGGGTTGACAGAAGAGGGTTTCCTGAGGACCATTTGCCAATGGGAGAAGAAGGCCTCCTGTGTTATTCCCAAGTTAAGGGAGACAAATCTTTGGGAGATCTGCTGAGGCTTCATTCTTCCAGCTTTTAGGAAAGAAGCCAAAGTTTCTCTTTCAGTAGTTTTTCTCTGACATTTGAATTAGAATTTTAGCTTGGGGTGACATTACTGACCACCTTGAATTCTAGAAAGAAGGTATAAATTGTCAATATATTTTGCAAGATACCTCTCCCCCCCCCACCCTGAATTCCTAGAAGGAACTCATATTGGCCAATATTTGTAAATACCTCAATTGTATAGAATCCAGTCTACGCAACTCAATAACATTTCAGAATTGAAAATAACGCATTTATTAGGTGTTTAACATAGATAAAATACATGTGCTTCTGCATGCTGTGTAGCATTTTTTTTAACACAAATAAAAGGGATGTAACATAAATCTAAGTTTCATAACCATTGGAATAGCAGCTGGCCTGAAAGAAAAGACATGCATAGTAATCATCTTTGGTAAGCCAAAGGTGTTCAGAAAGCTCAGGCCTTCTCACTAAATATAGAATAACTTATATACATTAGATTGGATGTAAAGGTACTTGAGGCTGATCTGTTTAAGCCACTAGGTCACAATCCACTTTTAAAGCCTTCCTGTACCTGGAGCCAACTCACGGACGGTAAAGGCACTAATTGGCTGCACTGCCTGACAAGGCCTGGGTTCAAAGCATTCAGTGGTTTTTGCCAAAGGGCAGTGGTTTAAACCCTGGAGTTCCTCGGGCACGCAAGATGCGAGTATAAGGGCTCTCTGTCACTGCGGGCTGAGTCGTTGAGCGAGTCAGGAAGTTGTGCAAGAATGGCTTCTTGATGGGAGGCTGACTCTTGGGCTGCAAGTTTTCATTATTTGCACAGAAGCGCTTTTTTGTAGAAGCTGGTACCCCCGACACTGTCTCTGCGTTTGCTGCAGCCTGGAGCTTCTGCACAGTTTGATACTGCTCTGCGATACAGGCAGCTTTCTTCCGCATATCCAGCTTCACCAGTATCATGTTATTCTGAATTTCAGCCAAGGTCTGGTCCTAGAAAGAACATCCAGCCAAAAAATGGTGATTTATCCCGACCAGTGGTTCTGCCATCTGACAGCTGCCTCCTAGGTCTATGAACTGAAAGTGACAGTTTGTGCCTCTTCCTGGCTAACTAGCACCATTTCCATTTCGGCCAGAGATCAAACCGCACGAACAACAGTCTCATCTACATAAGATCTGTCAACAGACTTTTGTTTTGGAATGCAAATTGTTCTAGTGGTATCTTGGTACTTGGTGTTAATTGGTTCTGGGAGGTGTGATGGGTACTAAAAAGGACAGGTCCTAAACAAATCACATGACCACATAACCCTTTGTTTCAGCCAGGAAGAACTTTCTGTCTGTCCCTTTTCCTATGCCAGCAATCTTCCCAGCATAACCAACTTCCTGTTCACCCTCTGTGGCCATCTAGCATGGCTGACTTCCTGTCCATTCCTCACAGCCACCCCCCCTCTTCTTATAGCATGTCGAGTACTAAACAAAGACCGAATACTGGGACAATATTTTCATGCCAAAATGCATTGAGTACCAATTAATTAATTAAATAATAAAGGCTTGCGGCAGTCCCATCTTCTCAAGATTTTCTTTTTAGTACCATACTTGGTAAAAGCATTCCCCAGCCCTCCCTCTAATTAAAAGAAAATCTAACTTACTGGGCTACTGCCTCTGCTTCACCATTTTTAGTTTTCTTTATGCTGAGGGATTAACTTTGCAATTTGTTTAGAGGGCAAGGTTTAAGGGTCAAGGTGTAATAGAAAAAAGAGCCTCACAAAGCGGCTAGATTCAGCAGGCCTTTCCATACCTGCTTGGCCAGGATATTGTCACACTTATTGAGGGCTTCGCGGAGTTTCCCAGCACTTGTGCTGTGACAACATGCTCTTTCGGCTGACTGGAACAGCTCTCCAATATTCAGCAGCTCCGAACGCAGCATCCTTACATTCTGAGAGCAAAGAAGAGTCAAGTAACAAAGACAGGAGTAAAACAAAAACCAAAAAACCCTCAGTTATAAAGGGCAAGCTGCCCACTAGCGGAGAAGAGGAGCCAGAAAGAATACACAGGAGTCCTTGAGCTAGGACTACTCATTCAGCGATCATTTAAAATTACAGTAGCACTGAACAGAACGGATTTACCACTGGCCCACAGAATTGTGGATGCCATCACAGCCTCTCTAGTCACTCAGACATTCAGTTTGCGATTGCAATGTCACGGTGAGCTGCAGTCATACAATTGTCATTTGCAACCTTTCCTGTGGCTTCTCACAAGCAAAGTCAATGAGGAAGCCAGAAGGGATGGTCACAAGTCGCTCCAATTGCTTTTTCTCTCTAGAAGTCCCATTACAAAGAACAAGATCCCAGAGAGCACATGCCTGCCTGCCACCACTGCTTGCCCACAACCTTGACTGGCCTTCCCAATGACATCTGCACAGCCCTTCACATTCCTTACACGGGATTCCTGCCTCTACCCACTTGACAACCCATACTGTCTGATATGCCACACAACATTTCATTTTATTACTGCATCACTTAGTGACAGCAACCCCACTCCCGACTTCTGTCGTAACTCAAGGAGTTACCTTGATCAGCAACATCCAAAAGAAAAGAAAATCTAATTTTCTTTAGCAAGCTCTTGCTCCCTCAGCTGAAGTTACCTTTTGACCTTCTTCTAGCTTCCGGTCTAAATCAGCAGCAATGGGCCTGGCCGAAGGTGGAGGCTCCAGCATTTTTTGATACTTAAGCAGTTCTGTAGGAAAACAGGGCCAAGTGCAAGAACAAATTAAGCCTAGCAAGCGAATTGCTAATGTACATGGCAGCTTCCAAATCAAGACCAAGCCCTGAAAGATAGAGATGTTTTCCGAGAAATATCAAATCTCTTGCTTCTTTCCCACAAAATAAAGCAGACCCACTGAAATTAGATGTAAGGAGGAGATTAGAAGTGATGATGAAAACCATTATTTCTGTTTTTAAAGCTATCACATACCTATGCAGGGATGGGCTTGTAACAAAAAAAAAAGCCGCTAGTGTCACAGGACACAATTAAGAGGACTAAGTAACAGAAAGAACAGGGGATAATGTATGTTTAACATTGGGCACATGTACATCAATCTTCACAACCCTCCAATAATTAAGGCAGTCTGCCTTTCTCCAGATCTACGGTCTGATCGCCATGCGAGTTTACAAGAAGAGGGCCTCACCTTTGGTAGATACACTCAGCTTTGCCTGGCACTTCTCTAGTAAATCTTTCACCTCCTGCAATTCTTGCTGCAATTCTTGCTGCGTAGATGTGATTCGTTTGGATCTACGTATTTCTTCCATATTTTGTCTCTTATCTGCTTTGGAGTCTTGTTGTTTTGCCTCCTGCAAGGCAGCTTCCAACTCTTTTATCTTGTCATCCCGACTCTGAAGAAAAAATAAGATGTTCTAACTAGGAAATGGGGGGAAAGGAGCTGTGGAACTAAGGAGGTATCTCCCCAAGGTTCCTATAAAAATGTGTGATTCTTAAGCATCAGGCACAAACAACTAGAGCCACACTCACAGAGTCACAAACAAGCCACCTTATTGTTCTATGTGTATTCTGCGGGAATCTCCCCATACTGGTAGCTTTTGCTAGGAAAGACTAAAGCTCAACAACATGAGATGTGTGGAGTGTATGTGATTAGACCTTGCCCTCTTGTGTTAAACTGATGCTGATTTCCCAGTGGAGCCCTCCTCCCAACTGACTGCTCTCCAAGATCAAGGCAAGTCCTCACACATAAGAATCTTCCAC